AACACGTAATCGGATAACGGTGTTTCAGGTGTCTATGGTGATCATTTACCCTACAATATAAAAAATAAAACTAGAAAACAAACAGGTGGAGTGCATAAACACCCAGACTGCGTTACCAAATTCTGTACTTGTCATTACCGACAATGTTTTTTTAATAATTTTGGTATCTAATATTCGTTCAATACTACTATACACTTGTAAGTAGAATATCTAATAGTTAAAGTTATACCAATACGAATTTCAAAAAATCATTTAATGTTTTTTGTAAATGTTTATTTGTTTATGTTTTTTTATTTGTTAATTCAGTAAATTATGATTGTATGTTTAAATAATATATAAAGAAAAATAAAAATAAGATAAAATCATATAATTTAACCCGTGTTGCGTCCGTGTTGCTGTATGTCTCGTGTAGATACAGTGACAATACTTAACAGTATATATAATACTTAACGGTACATTTACAGGCATAATTAGAGCGATACAATTCTAATACGAATTTGCTGATAGGAGAAATGGTTCAGCAGTGAAAAAGCAATATTTATGAGCAGGATTAGATACTATAAGTCCAGTAAAATTACCGTTTGAGAGTATGGGCTTGTTTGCGCCAATTCCGGATCATCGAGAAAACTATCTCAAAACTAGTAACACAGTTTTAGATTTTGACGATTAAAACCCTAAAGGAAAAAACCTGAAATTTTGACAAAGTTGCAAGCTCTAATGTATAAATTTACTGGACTAAACTTTGAATGGCTTTATTACGGAAACTACTAGGACTACAGAGACAACCGGATTTGAAGCATAGCCTGAAGTATTAATTTTGCTGGACTACATTTTGTTTTGGCCATTTCGCCACTAATGTACTGAGCGGAAATTTCGAGCATAATGCGTTATTTTAAAACTTTCAATGGCTACAGGGACGGCACCCTTGTTTAGTTACACCATTTAACAGCACTGAGGGCTAAGTATTAAATATGCAGTGGCAAGGAGACGTCATGACGTACTCCTGCCCTCCTGTCTCCGTATCTCGTGGCATTCTGACGTAAGATGACGTCTATAACGGGCCCTACGTCACGCGTTAAATGTGTTATAAAACATATTTAGCACATGAGTAAGGAATCGCACAGACAGAAGCGGCTTGAGGCGGCGGCTAGCCGCAAGCAGTATATAAAAAAGCTATGCGGTACTTATATTATCTAGTATTGCAAATAGCAGGTATAGATAATATGAATGCATGAAATAAATGAACATTGGCAAAAATATGAGTATTATTTGTCATCTATACTAATATTATAAAGCTGAAGAGTTTGTTTGTTTGATTGAACGCGCTAATCTCAGGAACTACTGATTCATAGCCCATTTATCGATGAAGGTTATAGGCTGCATAACATCATGATGATGCTTATTGGAGCGGAGCATCAATGAAAAATGTTGCGAAAACTGAAAAAAATAATCCTTTTCAGAGCTTGCGTTGCATGCGCTGCGTAAACGGTTAAAGTTACACCAAAACTATATAAAGTGCTATGAAAAAGTTCAGTTTGACTCACTATAACCCTTTTTCCTCAAATTAACCACATTCATCGACTGTTGGGCGACTCAAAGTTTGCCGGGTCAGCTAGAATATCTAAAATTAATATTTTAATAGTGAAGATGTACATTTTATTAATTTGGCAAAATAATTTGGCGTCGTTTCTCGTCCACGTGGTTGTTGCTTGGGCCGTGGTGGCTGGGGCCAGCGGCCGCGGCATAGCCGTTGGTGTTCGAATACTCTCTTACTGCAAATTAATGATTGGTCTCACCGCAAGGAAACTTATGATTTATCTAAGCTTTCTTACATTGTAAGCGGACATAACAGGCCGCCACGGCAGGCTCAGACACAAAGCTTCATACAATTGCGCGTATGTGAGTGAGCACTGGCGCCTGTCGCGTACGCAGAGAAGCGTTTTTATTGGGGCGACATCGACAGTCCGTCAGCGCTCACACATGTACGCGCACTGCATGAAGCTTTGCCTCTGTGCCTTCTTTAATTGTCGCGCCGGCGGTCACGGCCAGGGTCGCGGCCAGGGCGTTTCAGTAGTTTAAATTTTGTCACAGTTATTGTTACCAAAACAAAAAAATACAAATACTTCTGCATACTTGTTTGTTATTGTTATCTATACACATTTTATGTTTTAGTGACAAGAACTGTGTCAAAAATCTATACCACTCTACCACTAATTGAGACATGATTTTAACGTTAGCGTAGCAGAATCGACACCCAGTTCTATTCGCTGGCAATGTAAGCGAGTGTACACACACACGATCACACGAAGGGCTATCTGCGGCCGCAGGGCGCCGCTGTCCGTGAGACCCTTTACAGTCATATTAAAAGTTCTCTTTCGTTACTAGAGTTCAAACGTAGTATTCTATATTATGAAACAAATTGTACCTACTCAATACGAGTCAAATTGTTTCAATTATTAACAATATAAGTAGGTACTTATTTTTCTTTTGTACTTCATCATCTGGTATTATGTTATCGCATAAATAGAACAGGCTGATGTATAATATTCGACTGACTTTTAGTTTAAAAAATATCCTATATGTGTGATTTTAAACCGGAGTAGATTAAAAATGGACAAAAAACTTGCCATGTAAGTAAATCTTAAATTTTGTCAATAACAATGTTTCATATTTTTTTGTTTTACTAAATGTCTTTTGCTTTATGCCCTTACTTTATCACGAATGAAGCTTTCCATTACCCATCGCTTTTGATGTGAATTGTGATACTAAATTTAATGTCCGTTTCGTTTACGATCATACTGAATAAAAACTGAACTGAATATTAGCATTAGACTTAAATTAACGGTTTATCCCTGTAAATAGTAAACGTGAAATGAGATAAATAAAAACTGATTTTGTTTAGAACAACCCTCTATCTTTGTTAGCTGTTCAACGCTAAAAGTGGTACAATAAGGTTTATCAAACTCCCGTCCGCTGCCTGATCCGCGTATTTTTTTTTTCTAGTAAAACTTTTCGTTAGATATAAACATCTAGCGGTTAAATACTTAAAAATCAAAATAAAAACATAACTATAATTACTATTTCTTCTTTCAAATGTTTAATATTTGAAAAAGTATTCATTTGACATTGTGGTTACCTACAATGCGAAGAGATGGCGCTGCCTTGCAACTTAAGGCTAGGAAAATTTCGACGAGGCCATCAGGGCGATGGTAGCATAATTGGTCAGTGCATTCGCCCGGATTGCGAAAGGTGCGGGTTCGTGTCCCGTCCGCTGCCTGGTCCGTGAGGATATTTTTGTAGTAAAAGTTTTCTTTAGATATAAACATCTAGCAGTTAAATGCTTAAAAAAAAACATAACAAAGCTGTTTGCTTTTCATTAAATAAAAAAATATTGTTGTACGTGGTCCATATTAGCCTATGACCCATGTAATGATATGGTATTTTACGGAGGTTAATCGATATATAAATACTGCTAATGCCGAGTAAAATGATTTCACAAACAACTTGCGGCGAGGTCGTACGATAGTTCTGCACCCGAGGCGGAACACGTACGGTTACCGAAGTAAACGTGGTCGCCAACTGCTGCATATAAAATTCATGCCTTCAGGCTATCGATTCCAGAGTCAACTAACAACAACACGTGTTATTAAGGGCTCTATTATAAATACTTTAAAAACTGCTAAAGCGGCTAATTGTTGACACCTTCCTTTATCTTAAGGGAGGTAGGCCACAGCGAATTTCCCGTTCAAATTGGAGCACCCGTCTGGGGAAGTAACCTCCACCTTGCAAATGATCATAGTGTTTCTGTCGGTGAGTAAGGTTCCAGGGCTCCACGGGTAGGGGATTGGATCAGGTAATGGAGCGAGTGATAATGTCTATAGGCTATGGTGCCAAACGCTTGTTTAAAGCCCTTTTTACACAAAAAGAAAACTTTTCTAGGCCGAAGTATTTCACTTAAATAACTTATTTCGCGACTATGAAAAGAAAAGGATTGTGATTAAGGTAAAAGTTTCATAATTGGGACCGCGACCCTTTTCTTGGCTGTAAGTACCCGAATAAGACTTGTGGTTATTTTCAATTATACATGTCATCGTTAGTTTGTCAAACAACAAAAAATTATTTATACAAACAAAAAATGAGTTTTGGTGACATAAGTAATAAATTTACGAACTTAATACTACTTCGTATGATTTAATATAAACAAAAGTTACTAATAATAAAAAAAACACACAATACAAATGATACAAACCATGAACATATGCTACATTTTTGCTATATTATTTCGATAAGAATGGTCAGTAACCTACCTACGGAAGCAATGCTAACATTGAAAATTAAAATGTTCCGTCTAAACTACGATATGAATGGTAGTTAAAAGTTCACTTGAAATTTATGGTCGCGGTACAACCAAGAATTAATGCTATACCGGTATTTGTTCAAACTACTATGCGGCTTAACTATTCATGGCTCTCGCGGGGCGGAGCAGTTGCATTCGGAATGCCATAGCCGACGTAATGGGCAACTTATTTACTTAACACTCTCGATTAATCAAATTGAACGTTCGCCTTTCTAAAATAAAATATTCGTGTATTGCCCTTCTCGATATTCTGATAAATGCTCGGCTTAATGGTACCTTTTAAATTGCACGTTGAAACCTTAATTACTGTATTACACTGAAAGAGTAAATATAATAATATAGTTGAAACAAAAACACTGTTAAGTTGATAGTGAATTTATAAATGATTTCCTCAGTTATCTACTGATCTACTTTGAATTTTGCCATTGTGCTTCGTATTCAAACCTGTAACCTAAATATTATTTACGTTAGTAAGGTGGTTATGATACCCAATTATTAACAACATATGTCTATAGAAAATTAATTAAGTATAAAAAAATATTCAAAGAACCGCTTCGAATTGAAGAAATTTAATATAATTTGTAGATATTCGATGCATGAAAAACTTATGATACTCTAAACAAACTAAGGTTTTTCTTTGCAGAGTCGAATACTGGAGGATGCGTCGCTGATGTGCAACTCATGGTCTCCAAGGCACAATGTAAGTTGATCGATTCGAAACCTTAGGGATTTTAAAATTTGTTCATTTTTAATTTTTAATTGTAACATTGCGATGCGAGTGATGCTTGCGAAAATCTTTGGCCAAAGATAATCCATACTTATTGTATTTTTTATGCATGGCGATTGTTTATTTGACGGTTTTAAAGGATATAGGTAAGAATTCTTTAAGTTTTCCAGTATTAGGTACGAACAACGGTGACGGTAAGTAAATATGTTTTAGGTTTAGTTGATTATCTATAATGAGATGATGACTTACGTTTTTTTTTCATCTATCAGGTAGATTATCAAAAAAATATTGGACACGTATTTTTTCTTTAGTCATATAATCAAAACATTACAGAGATTATTGATTTAAAATATCGCATGACGTCACGTCTTGGTACTTTTTCAATTTAGAAGTGACGTCACTAGCCTCCTCTCCCAAACTCTGATGCGTTTTACCTATACCTACAGTGGTTTGTATTATATCCGTTACCCTAGTATGCCATAACACAAGCCTACAGTACTTTTTTGGGGCTAGGCTAATTGGTATGAGTGTTGAAAATATTCATTTATTTAAATAGATGAAATATCTTAAAATAAGTGCAGATTGACAGGCATAATAGTTTCTCATTAAAACTTCGTAATTTTTATTTTATTATTATTTTTTGTTGTTCTCTTGTTACTTCATGTAAAGCTTTCGTTAATTTAGTAAATAAAATTATACATAAGATAATAAACCTATACTAATATCCCGTCAATTGTTGACAAAAACTAGGCTAAAAACAAAAAAAATCTATAAAGAATTATAATGACAATAACACAGGCAGACATGTCCTTCAGTTATATACCTATTAACCATCCTATTATATACAATTACTTTTACTAAATTGGATATTATTCAATAGATAGTGATGTTTCCAGTAGCTTACACTCAATGGAATAAGACGATGCATTCCATTGTTCAGCGGTGTATAAACATTTTAGAAAAGACAATTATTTATTCAAGTCCTCAAAGTAAGGAAACTGTGTAAATTATAGAAATTTACACAGTTTCCTCGAAAAAAGGAGTTTCTTGAAAAAAAATATTACAAACTTTATGTAAAGGTATTGTTTCAGTTCCTCCAAATTAACTTTATGATTGTCCGAGGCGAATACAATTTTCGATTCCCGTACCTAATAGCATTAATAAAGGCTGAATAACCTTTCATGCTAACTGTATTCTGGAAAAAAAACAATTAGATAACACTGAACCAAGGAACTTACTGAACACTGAACTATGCTATCGTGATATGTCAGACGAGAGAAGACGTAAAAATAATGTTAGTAACTGTGTTTATTTGGAAACCTTCAAAAGCTGTAATGCTATGTTATTATTGATCTGACGTTATTTGTGATTCTGAAAGTTATAATCTTTTTAAAGTGGAACTTTTATTACAACGCCACATTTTTTTTCGTTCATATTTAGCATGACCTTAATAAAAACCATCGGTGGTTCAGTGGTAGAAGGCCCGGGTTCAATTCCTGGTAGAAAAAAGGACTTTTTTTATTATCCACTTCTTATATAATTTTCCAAAGTAACATTAACTAAGGTTAACTTTCATCGTGGTTTGCAATCATCGAAATACTCTCTTACAATTACTACACCCTAACAGGTTGATGTTCCAGGCCATCATATAGAAATGTAAAATCTTTAAATGTGAAAGTAATACTGTTACAACGTGCATATATAAATAAGTGGCCTCTTACCTTTCTGCTTGTGCAAAACCTAAAGCTCAACTGGTGCTTAATCTAAACTAAAAACGTTTACAAGCAAAAAATCTTCTCGGCCCAGGTATCTGGATAGTGGCAATGTTCGGTTCATTTAGTGACTTTGGGAATGCAATCTGTCATATACTCGTTTACTATTTCAAAACTCAAAACTAACACTATCATATTATAATAATGTGATTTATCCGTTCCTATGGTAAGGGGTACATCACTTGTTGTTATGTTTGTAGTTTATCGACATCTAGGTCAAATCGATCGAGGCCGTTGAAAAAGGTTAGAACAATAGAACACTTAAAACAATCACGACTTATCTACAGCCGCTATTACCTAAATAATCTTTAAAATGTCGTAGGATTTAAAAACATATTACAAACATAAAGACAGGGTTTCCTTCACAAATTTCATACATAATAACTGCACTGAAAACGTAAAGTAAATTTCAATGTTAGTACAGAATAGTACCTACTGCACAGTTGGATTTTGTACTTATTTGCAATGATGCAAGCCGAACTTCCAAGTCGCGTTTAAAACTCAACTTGACTAGAATTGCAGGAAGGAAGGAAGGCTTTCGCAGCTTTCTTTTTAAAAGCGCTCTTGGAAACTCGAGGTGGCTGGTAAAATCCACAGTAGCATGTCCCAAGTTTAGGGTGTTTCTATACTGTGCAAGTAACTCGTGCAGGATATATGCATCGTGAAAACACCGTGCCAAGACATGTGCGGGTCGAGCGACTCGTGCATGTATCAGAGCGAGCGCAACCCGCGCAACTAATCCGCGCGTACAGGTCACTCGCGCATGTTACTTGAACAGGTTGTAACATGTAGCTCTCGACCACGAGCAAATAACTTGTTCATTCTGCTTGCGCAGGTAGCCCGTGTCTTTACTTGCTCCAGTCATTAACACCATGTACAAGAAAAATAAGTTACTTATACAAATACAAGCACAGGCCTTGTTTTGCATTACATTGTCCCACTATGGTCTAAATAAGTCTGTACCACGAACATTCGACTAAGCTGAGACGCGTGAATTTCTGGAAACTTCTTCGTTTAGATCACGATGTAACCTCACGTTTGAGCTGTCTGTATTTTGAACGTGATCTGTTGGATATTGAATTAGAATTTTCTTAAGCCTCTTCCTTGCTTCGTATACGAGTGGGCTATAGTTTATGTTTTCGGGTTTGTATTATACTTAAGTACAATCCTTAAATCCATACAATCAGTTAGTGAAAACTTAACTAACTGATGGTGAAAACTGCATCATAATCCGTTGCATGGTTCAGAAGAATTTGAAGGGTATACAGACTAAAGCGGCAATTGGCTTTATTTTGTACTAGTGGCCCGCCCTCGCTTCGCTTCGGTGTAGAGCTGAAGTGTAGACTACAGTTTTTGTTCTCAGGCTTGTATTATACACAATGACATTCATCTATGATTCTTCTTATACCTGCATGCAAAGTCTCAGCCCGATCGGTTTAAAATTTCATACAAACTTTCATTCCCTATTTTATCCTCTTGGGGGTGGAATTGATCAAAATCCTTTCTTAGCGGATGTCTACGTCATAACCTCTACCTGCATGCCAAATTTCAGCCCGATCCGTCAAGTGGTTTGGGCTGTGCGTTGATAGATCACTATGGCAGTCAGTCACCTTTGAGTTTTATATATATAGATATTTGTTACGTCACCGTAAACTGACGATATGAGATGTTGTTGGGATTGCACTATACAACATAATTCAGGCATCAGAATAAGTTTTCCTTGGTGTAGCAGTGGAAAGGTACCTTCACCAATCCTTAATAATATATCAGAAAATTCACGATCATCCGGGTTATCTCCAGTTCTCACTCGCATGTTTATAGTCAAATGCACCGATTGTATATCACGCCACAAATAAAAGCTTTTCAGGCAAGCCCTAACCTCATCAGCTCGGGTTCCCCGTGGTATTTCCGGTAAGGTTTGTCGGAAAACCACAAAATAAAACTGTGATACCGCCCATTGGTCGATCATTTTGTCTTATCCGTTACACAAAAATAAATCCTTATAGCATGATTCAGTATTCACGTGCGACGGCGCGATGGCTTATTTCATGTATAAGTTTGGTGTTTCTATACTGATTTCTATGATTCTTTTTTTATTGAATAGATAATAATGTTAACTTTTTTAAATTAGGGATGAGTGAGAGTATTATAAACGTAAGAGTAAACAAATATAATCAGAATGCTCCGAACTGCTAAGCTATCAGGAGTTACACGTGTTATTGTGAGTCAACTATAAAAGATAGACATATGCTGTTGCGGGATATTTTTTAGAAAATTTTATGTAGAATATTTCCGTCATACATAATTTCTATGTAACTTTAACCATTGAGGCTGCGCACGCGACGTAGGCTTAAAAAATGGAGTAACTTCTCCCGTTTTCCCAACATTTCCCTTCATTACTCTGCTCCTATTGATTGTAGCGTGATGAAAAGTATACTATAACCTGCCCAGGAGTATGAAGAATAATTGTACCAAGTTTCGTTAAAATCCGTCTAGTAGTTTTTGTTTCTATAAAGAACATACACACAGACAGACAGACAGACAAAAATTTTACTGATTGCATTTTTGGCATCAGTATTGATCACTAATCACCCCCTGATAGTTATTTTGAAAATATATTTCATGTACAGAATTGACCCCTCTACAGATTTATTATAAGTATAGATTAACTTTTGCCCGCGGCATCGCTCGTGTTGAATTTGGGGATAGGGTTCTCTTCCCCGTTTAGGGGATGAATTTCAGAAATACCTGAAAGTTCTTGAAAAAAAAAGAGATTATTACGGTTTGATGTTCTGCTTACACCGCAAACTTCAGTGGCAACAACACTCATGCGCCAGCTAAACTGCCAGCCAGTATTATTCTCTACTAACTTAATTCTTCATTAAGGACTCGCTTTGATCTCTGTGCACAGTTTTCGTACCTTTCTATCTTAATTTAGAAGGGGCTTGTTATAACTTCAAAACGAATTTCTGGAATTATAATTTACCCCCCTACCTTACCCCGCCCCCTTTGCCCCCTACTTCCGCCCCGTTGTAATCGTAGCGGCTAAGTGCGCATCACATAATCCCTGTCAGTCGTACAGACACGAACATAAGTGCTTCGGAGCCTGGAACAAATTTTAAAACACGAAATTTTGACTCAGCTGATTACCAACATACCTACACGAAAGTTCTCGGCTATTTATTCCCTACGTATTCTAAA